ATTTAGTCCGGCTAGTTGTTGCAAGGGTTGTATAGCACGGTGTCTCCAACCGTGATTTAGTGTGGATGGTTGACCGAGCTCCTCCATCTAGAGTGTGCCCAGTATAGCTAATGACACCTCACTAATGTCGAAGACTTAAAGAACGACTTATTTCAAAGGATTTGTCTAGCACAAAATTGGAAAAGAAGAAAGCCAATTACTACTGACATCACACGAATCTTGATGAGTAGATAAATGATAAGGAGTTATCGTTTCGATTCACGTGAGACAGATATAAAATATCATAGTAAAACTTAGAAAATCCATACTAAGAAAATGCCGAATTGCCACCTTCAGTATTGTTAAAATTCGGTAGAATCAAATTTATATCAAACACTATTGTAACTATTATTATCGGTCCTTACACCATGTGTTGAAATTGTCCGTCCATTAGTTGGGGTTTTTGATTGTTTACCAATTCATCGATTCCATGTTTCAAACTGTTCTATGAGGCATTTACACTCATCTTCAAAAACAAACTTGTATTGGTATATTTAGTCATTTCGATCGATCGAATGTATTTTTCTCTCAAATACTTGTATTTCGTTGAGTCATAAGCTCAGACCTACTCGTGAATTAGAAAAGTGAGGGATATGTATCTGGAGAATATTCGTGTATCACTCAGTAGAACTAATATCAAAACTAATAATGATGAATAAAGGACTAATTGAAGTACTGAGGTTCAGGAATGTAATATTCTCAAAGTGATCCAAGAATAAAAGGAACAACAAACTCTCCTAATAATTCCTCTGATTAAGCAGCGTGATGATGACACTGTATCATAATTTAGTGGTAATAGAACATCGGCAGGGATTTTGTTTTATGCGAACAATCAGCTCTCCAAAAATAATGCGAAGAAAACTAAGTTTGGGGCGTTTTCTAGTGGTCGTTCGTGGAAGACTGCTGCTGTCTAACCTTAGTATAAGGTGAGTTAGTGTGAACTCAACCTGAAGCCCCAAGGTCACGGCGTGAATTCGAAACTTGGGTACGTGGTTAACGCGAAGGCATAGGATAGCGTGGTAACTTCTCCATAGGTGGACACTGTACCAATAGCTGTCCGAAGACATTAGGCCATTCCCAAAGTTTCTTTACGTATCTATGCAGACAAAATGGGAAAATAAAGGCGAACTTAAGCAGTACAGATGCCATATAGCATTTCAATGTTTCGTTTATCGCCTACACTGTGTATATAATGGAATCTGACTTTTTCCCGATCGGTCCCATGTTTGAACGCCACTATCTGTTTCAGTTTGAGGTGCTGAGTAGAATTATTAGCCCTTACACTTGGGATACCTCATACTCAGATACCTGGTGGTTGAGCCAAAGTTTGTCTCATGAAGAAGACAGTGGTGATGAAAACTTTGAAGTTAATGAGCTCAACGATTGGAACTCACAAAAAAACATTCTTACACTTTGGTAGGATCTACGTGCAGCAATCCTCCCTCTTTTGTACAGTCCCAAGTACGATAAAACTGATGAACAGGTCTGGATTCATAACAGGGTTAAATATATTTCAGGGACATATGTAGCTTTAATGACCTTAGCCATCTGAAATGTAAATAAATTGTCAGATGGATTCGTGATACCTCGAATTCGTCTTTCATATTTCCTCGTTGGACATATGTTTCTAGAATTTCCAATTTCTTAGCTGACAGAGGAAACTGAAGCTACAATTACTCACTAAAAATGTTGCTCAAAATACTATTAAAGGATAGCCGTTTAAAAGTTGACACCTGCCTAATGTTGTCAGATAAATCAGAGACAGTTGTCACAAGGTCTTGTACGTATTTTTACCAAATTGCTAGAGTAAAGACAATTTCATGTTACTTGGCCACTCCAGTGTCACTAAGTCTTGATGCAGAAGATGAGAGAATTTTTTATCTTCGTTGAACTTATATAGATCTATAGAAATAATGGGCTTAGATAAAAAACGAATTAAGTGTTTTGAACACATTAGACCCTATATAAGCAAACTAATTACACCCAGCAAACTTGTCTTTTAGATCCAGCTCAATGGAGTAATACAGATAATTGAACTTGTAAATTAGTAGCATCGTATGTACGATGATTTTTGTGCAGCCAAAGATAACTAGATATTTATCCGATTTGCTGAAAAAGGAACTATGTTTTTGGCTACACAAAAATAATCTATGCCAAACTAGTTTCTGTATGTAACTTACCCGAGTAGTACGAGACCACATGTTTGACTATACCACTATTAAGTTCCATCGACTTAGCTCTTTACTTCTATATCCACGATGTCAAGACACATGCATAGTCATTCGCTTGCATGCAACAACTTATTATTATTATTATTTTTTATTCTAACATAGATATCGGTACAAGAAGGCACCAAATACATATGCGCCACACAGATCTCATTTGACATGTGTGAAGGCTGTGATACTGCCCGGGTGCCCAAACCGAAGCAGGTGGTTTTCTTAGGGGGCCACACCCCGAGCCTTTGACCTGAAGATCTGATCCACAAGGCAGTGGAGCATCGTAAGGAGATGCAGTCCCATGGTAGCCGGTGACCAACGATTGGTTCATACGCCATTTGTTCCTGCAGGATACTGGAGCCCATGTGCACCATTGGTTTGGGATCTGGTTATAGCGCCGGACATTCGCTTTTCGTCCTCTCATTTTCGTAAACAACACCCTCGCCACGAGAAGGCAGTGAGTAGGACTTCCCTGGCAGAGGCTGTATACGCGTGGCCATGTGAGAGCACTTCGAGAGGGGGAGCGGACTCCCCCCACTCTCGGCCATACCAGGGCATTTGGGGGCCAACAACTAGTATCTTAACACTAATAATCGCGAAGTCCATAGCTGTAGGCGAAAAAAATGTAGAGATAAGAAGCTAGTTCCTAAATCTACAAGTGCTGATCAGGTGAAAAATAACTAACAGATTTACTTACGAAGACGTATGCGTTAGTGGAATTACGATTTCCCCGTCGACATTATTTGCTCAGATGTACTTACATATTATTTCATGTGCGGTGATTCATATGTCCTCATGCAAAAACAGCGCATGCACTCTCAAAACAGCTTGTTTGCCTGTCAACTGAAAATCGAATTGTGTAAACCGGCATTAAAAGCGTTTACCGTTATCTGTACTTTCGTTGAAAAGTCCGTTGTCCTGTGGCAAGTCGTATTTCCTAGGGAATTTCGGACAATCAGTTTCTCAACAAAAGGATTACAGAGGTAACTTAGTTTTTCTATGTAATGCATGCGAATAAATATGAGCCTAAATGGACACTTCCTCCCCTCGTTGGAGATTACTATTGAGGCATGTACTGCTGATTGTCGTCAAGTGGATAGTCATAGAGCCATTTGAGTATAAAACTGCTTTAGGTTACTTAACAGGTGCTTCAGTAGTATCATTATTGCCAAGGGATATGTCCCAAAATAATATTGGATATAAATCTGTCACTCGTAGATATGAGGAAAATAGTAAGGTAGGACGGGAAACGTTTTTATAGAAATTGAAAAAAATTAGTGTAACTCCACAACATTTGACTTCTGGAACCTTTTGTAGTCAAAGAAACTTTCGGGTGCCACTACAAACATAAAGTTATTTTTATGGATTATCGTAGTAGTATCTGCACCGTGTCGCTTGTGCACTTCAGCGACAGTGACAACCTAATCCTCTTAGGTACTTGTAAGTTCTGTCATCAGCGTAGATCCTCATCTCTAGTCGGACATACTACCTGATATTAAGTATCAAAGTTAGTGACTAACTCAACCCTCCTCACAATTCCAAGCGACACTTAAGTTCAGTATAATGTTAGAACATCTCGGCGATAATAATACTATTGTACTGCTAAAACATCTATTACTTCATTTAAACTAGCTGTATGCTTAAATTGTGTTTTCATTATTCGCTTGAAAACAGTCAGCACTGTTTTCCTCAATGTTCACCTCGAATAATTAACGGAAGTACACATTTGTACTGTTTTGTGATGTTCACATTTATAACGTCGAAAAGCTAGATCACCTTAATAATCGTTATCTTTCCACGCAATAATAACTGAAAATATATATTAAGATTTTCGTTGATATTCACAGTCAAACTATCGCAAGCATACATTTTCGGTTCAGATATGCTCCGTACTCAGGATATTCCCGAATGTATTAAACGACGTTTATATATATACTTTACGCTACATACAACTGTACATGAAGTTATGTACTGATTAACATATCTCGCAAGTCACTTTACAAATAATTTAAAGAACATTCAAATAGACGGTTATATATCTAGATTATTTCGAAGTTAATCACGCGCCAAATAGGTTAATAAGTTGTAAATATCACTTAGATATAAGTAATGGTGAAGGTAGTTTAGTGAAATAATAGGGACTACTTTTTTAACATTCTTGTCTATTATACTCAAAATATATTATTACTTCTAATAGTCTGATGATGTCTAATCAGGGTTTCTAATCAATTACGCATACTGATTATTTGTTAAGATTTGTATACTCTTGTCATTGATCTTAAAGATTGCATTTATTCATATCCATTAATCCAGTTAGTGGCTATTTGTACTCAGTAACTAAGTGAATAATGAATTGACGTTTAAATCGATAGGTCTTATTGTGAACATTACCCGGGTATAGATACTTAACCAAACAACTAGTCCTACGTAATAGGAGTTACCCATTTAGTATTTCACTGTTAGCTACAATTCAAATAACTTTAAATATATTTTGTTAGGCTTAACTGTTACTTCAATAGATATTACTTTCACTAGTCTTTTATTATCTCATTATAAATTTTATTACTTGATTTAGTGACGTATGACATAACAGTTTAAGCCTAAGCATATTTGTGCCAGATTTTCACATGATCTACGATTGATTGATTTGTACAGATTAAGTGAAAACTTTCTATAATTCCAGTGTTTTATCGTAATTAAGTTAATTTTCTTTCTGATAAGGTTTCTCGTATAACTTGTTGGATGAATATGTCGAATTTTATGCTGACATTAGATCCGAACTGTACAGTATTTCTTATGTGTGATGTACAAAAAAGCTTATTAAACACTGTTATCGATTCGGATAATGTTCATTTGCGTATATCTCACATTGTAAGTTAATTTTTATAAATATAAATAATAATAATATGTTTAATTATAGTTACAATTAGGCAAAGCCATGGGAATTCCATTATTAGTTACTGAGCAGGTTTGATGATTTTTTTTTATTGTCACTCATATTTATGTTACCTTTTCTGTTTTATTCACTACTAGTATTCTAAAGGTCTAGGTAGGACGTCAGATTCTCTTGATATATCACATGCATTATGTGTGGTTGATAAAACCTCTTTTTCTATGTATCACGGATTAATCGCTGAGAAACTAGCTGAGTTTCGTGATCGTTTCGTTGTTTTATTTGGACTTGAAGTAAGTGTTACATGTTAGTTTCATGAATTATTATTATTAGTATTGAGTTAAATGTATACTTATACCAGTGTTAATTGAGGTATTCCGGTTGTATCATTAGCCATCACATTTAAAGTGTTGTTCCTACTCAAGGATCTAGTAAATGGATCGATTCAATTTCATTGTGATTAGACATCAAATGTCCTTCTGTGGCTGAGGATGAGAAGAGTTCTCTCTCCCTTTCCAAATGCTCTCATATACCCACTACCAAATAAGTCCTGTTTACTACCTTCTCGCCCAAGGTTGTTGTTTACGTAATCTATGGGGCGAAAGGTCAGTCAGTCAGTAACAATGTGGAACTTCGTACGTACGTACATCAGTTCGAGTTGCCATACCACATTAGCACAGAAATTCAGTTATCGATTCAAATCCCGTAGTGGTAGAGGTAGTGATAGGCAACATTAAGGTTTGATGATGTTATTTAAGCAGTATAGTCCAGTGAAATAGATTTGGAAAGAAAATAAAGGACATGAAGAATACAGAAGATTAGAGTTTGAGAGAACACAAAGAGTGGATGTACCTGCGCCATTGCAAACAATTTTCAGCCATGTCTCTAACCATCGGTTGCTATCATCTCGCGGTCCCTATCCAAGTAGTCTACATCTACCAACATGGCTCAGTTCACTTGTCAGTGACTTCATGGATTTGTGCCACGTTTTTGTCTGGCCGCCCCTAGCTTTATTCCAATCTACTCCTACACCATAAAACATCGCACGTATGGGGCGAAAGGCGAACGTCTAATGCTTAAACCGGGTTGGTAGATAATGAGGATCTACCTAGTTGAGTTCAAAAACCCTGGTTCTAAACCAGTGGTTCATATGGGCTCCAGGATCCTAAAGAAACAAATAGCGTATAAACCTATTGTTGATCACTGACTACCATGTGACTGCATCTCATGACGTTGCTCAACTGCCTAGTGCATTAGATCTGTCGATTAGTCGACTTTCATTCATTCGATTACTAGTTCAAATTTCTCATGTATTTCAATTTCGATAGCTGAATTATTATGATTAGCTGTTATACAAAAAGATGTATAACCTCAACCTAAGTAAATAAACTTTTAAGTAGTCACCAAGTTACATTAATTGTCAGATTTTAACAGTCTGTTTTATTATTTTTTTCTCATATATACATCACTCTACAAACGTTTTTTTTATTTCTCTAAGGCACATATATGTATTCTTCAAACTGCTCTGCACTTATTGTCTGAAAATTATAAGGTTGTTATCGTAGCCGATGCATGCAGTTCTCGAAGTGCTGTTGATATGAGAATTGCTCTACAAGTGAGTTACTACATAGCATAATAATAACATGCTGGTGTATGGTATTCATTTTTATTGTCTTTCAAAAAAAAAACAACGGAGAATTTACGAGGACAAGCCTAAAATCAGTTACTTATTAGCTAAATATCCATTTTCTAATTAGATCATCAAGGCGTGGAATTACTTACTTGGATATGTGGTTGAAGCTCTATATTTTGATGCATTCAAACGAGAGTTGAATAAACTGAGATCCTCCGCTAGAACTAACCCACTAAACCTTCTGTCCTTCTTAAGCTAAAACTGTTTCTGATTAACATCAAGTTTGTATTACTTGCAAAACTAACTTGCAGATAACTTACGTACCAAAAAGATATAAATGGTAACTCAGTGGTTGAAAGTTTAAGGGCTCAGCACAATGCTTGAAAGTCTTGGGTACTATCCGTGGCAGGATCATGGATATGTATTACCGAGGAGTTCCATACTAGGACGAGACAATTGTCTGGTGTTTCCTGATTTTCATTGGTTGTCTAATCAAAGTCGATCCGTGATTTGAAGCTTTAAATTTAATAATCTACACTGTACCCTGTAGTAAGTTATTATTGTTTGTGTGGCATTAGTTCAATACCGACTATAAAACTTGTATCGTGTTATTATCATCATCAAGTTATGGTGTGAGGGGCTAAATTTTAGAAATTAATTAAATATTATATTCAGATTTTTGGCGAACAATTTGTTCTGGTACGGCCGAGAGTGAGGAGAGTCAGCTCTCCCTCTCGAAATGCTCTCGAGCGGCCATGTGCATACAACCACTGCTAGAGAAGTCCTGCTCCCTGCCTTCTCGCACCACGGGTGTTGTTTGTGAAATTGAGGGACGAAAAGCGAATGTCCGGCGCTTTAACCGGGTTGGTGGATAGGGAGGATCCACCTAGGGCAGTTTGAAAACCCTGATTACAAACCAATGGTGCACATGGGCCCCAGTATTTTGAAGGAACAAATGACTCATTGACCAATCGTTGGACACCGGCTACCACGAGACTACATCTCCTGACGTTGCTCCACTGCCTTGTGGATCAGTCCTTCAGGTTGAAGGCTCTACTTGTAATCCCTTAAGAAAACCAACTGTTCCGGCTTGGGCACCCGGGCAGTATCCCAGCCCTCACACAAATTGAATGATTTATGTGGCGCATATATATTCGGTGCTTCCTTGTACCAATGTTTATGTGTCTAAATAAAGAAATAAATAGGGTTGATTAATTAATTTGATGATAAATCAAATTCGTGGTTTAAATGAAGAATAAATTAACCTTTTGGTTAATCATCAACTAGTTCGTTAAGTTAATATAACTGAGTTACAGAATCTGAATGGTATATGGTCATGATTGTTCAGATTGTAAATATATACATAGTTACGGATGTATGAGATTGTTCAAAATAGACTAGAATTATACGTCGTTTTCGTCAAAGATCGATCTCAGTTGGAGTACCTTTGTAAACTAGGGAAGACTGGGCAGTTATTTCATCCTAGTGTGGGACTTCACAGCAATGCACGCCTACAATCTCAACTAGGATAGCTAGCATTCAAGTAATACAGTTTCAGCCTCAATTAACGATATAGTCCAATGATCATTTAATGCCATTGGTAATAACATGGAGGTCAAATATATCCGGAATAAAGTAGCTATCCATTACTCTCTTGTTTTTGTTTAAAGTACCTCATTTGGGATCAATGTGTATTAAGCCCACAAATGCCCTGGTATGGCCGAGAGTTGGTAGAGTCCGCTCTCCCCCTCGAAATGCTCTCACGTGGCCATGCGTATACAGCCTCTGCCAGGGAAGTCCTACTCACTGCCTTCTTGTGGCGAGGGTGTTGTTTACGAAAATGAGAGGACGAAAAGCGAATGTCCGGCGCTTTAATCGGATCTCAAATCAATGGTGTACATGGGCTCCAGTATCCTGAGGGAACAAATGGCGTATGAACCAATCGTTGGTCACCGGCTACCATGGGACTACATCTCCTTACGATGCTCCACTGCCTTGTGGGTTAGATATTTAGGTCGAAGACTCGAGAAGTGGCCCCCTAAGAAATCCACCTGCTTCGGTTTGGGCACCCGGGCAGTATCACAGCCCTCACACATATCAAATAAGATTTGTGTAGCACATATGTATTTGGTGCCTCTTTGTACTAATATCTATGTGTTAAAATAAATAAAATAATGTGTATTAAATACAAACTTACAAAATGCAATCAATCTCTACAAATCCCTTTGAACTGTAATAAAATTATTCTATTCTCAATTTATCTTTTTATTTATAGCGTTTAAATTCTACTGGTATAATATTATCAACAACTGAATCATTGTTATTTGAACTTATTAAAACAAAAGATTCACCATATTTCAATTTAGTTAAAAGTATAGTACGTACACATTTACCAGATCATCCAGCATTGATCAATTATTGAATTGATTAACATCCGCGCTTGATCTCCTTTCCTTCTTCTTCTTCTTCTTCTTCTTCTTCGAAAAATTCCCTTCTTTAATTCAAATTCTGTATGATTTTGTTTGGAATTAGAATACAACATATTTCCTATAAATTGTTTGTTGATATATTTATACTCTGTGAAGAATTACTACCTGGTTGAGATCTGCGAGACGATAGCAACCAATGATTAGAGATCTTAAATATTGATATGGCTCAAAATCATTTGCAATGATGCAGGTGCATCCACTGTTTGTATCCTTGCAAATTCTAATCTTCTGAATTCTTATACTTCTACTACTTCTATCACTATGGGATTTGAATCGACAATGGTATGTCTGTGTTAATGTGGTATGAAAAGTTTAACTGATTTACGTACATACGAAGTTTTACGTTGTTGCTGACTGTTGTGATGTATGCGACTGATGTCGACAGATATAAGTAGTATGTACCACCCATCAATCGAAATTGAAATGTCTACCGACAGAAGGTTAAGAAGATCAATGAAAAGAGAACGAGAACAAAGAATGACTGGTATGGAAACGAAAGAACAATGAAGTCTGAGACAATTGATTGATATTTTGCAAATGAAGTATTTACTGTATGGTTCTTAGATTTGACTAAGACGTTCTATAATTTTGTGTTCAAATACATTCGATTGTCCTCACTTGTGTTCTCGTTCTTATTTATTATTTATTTATTTGAAGAAATAAATATTGGTACAAGAGGGAACAAAATATAAATGCGCCTCATAAATTTTCATTTTGTTTGTGTGTGGGCTGTGATACTGCTCGGGTGCCCAAACCGAAGCAGGTGGTTTGTTTAGGGGGCCACACCGCGAGCCTTCGACCTAAAGGTCTAACCCACAAGGTAGTGGAGCATCGTAAGGAGATGCAGTCCCATGGTAGCCGGTGACCAACGAGTGGTTCATACGCCATTTGTTCCTGCAGGATACTGGAGCTAGCCCATGTGTACCATTGGTTTGGGATCTGGTTAAAGCGCTAGATATTTGCTTTTCGTTCTCTCATTTTCGTAAACAACACCCTCGCCACGTGAAGGCAGTGAGTAGGACTTTCCTGGCAAAGGCTGTATACGCGTGTCCATGTGAGAGCATTTCGAGAGGGAGGGCGGGCCCACCCCACTCTCGGCCATACCAGGGCATTTCGTTCACTACACTATCATTTATCTACAATTCCTAATAAGTATAGCTCTGAAAGATAATAAGCCATGTTGAATAAAGCAATTAGAAATGTTCATAACTGAATAGTTCACTGGACAGTTCATAACATATGTGAGTTTGATCTATTATGGTTATAATAAAAGTGTGAATCGGTTTTTAACATAGTTCTAGAAATATGTTCGGGTTCTTGATGAGTGATTGATTAGTATTGTTTCACGCCACCTTAAATTATGAGTAGTCTACATGTCTATTAAACCTTTTATATTGATGTTTTGTGTTGATCTGATACTGCTCCAAGTGTAACTCTATCATAGAGTATTAAAAAGTGAGCATATAATTTTGCTTTTCTGCTATACATGTTGGAGATACTAGATCCTCATGAATATTTTGGTAAACATCTTGCTTTTGTAATTTTGGAGGTTTGAAATTCTGGTTGTCGTTCCAAAATGACCATAAATGTCATTGCTTCGTTATTTCTTTTAATACACTATTTTGTGACGTTTCTCATCGACCTCTTTATACTGTATATATACGCTTGATTTGTTCATGCTTCTGGCTGCTTGTGGAATATATATATTTTCCTCTTCCGAATCCGGTTTTCTCCCTCTAGTTACCAGGGCTAGGGCGCATTGGAATAATTCAGCTTATCCTGTTATTATGATCCAGATCATCGTTCCTTCGCCGTTTTTTAGGTGATATCGCAGTCTGTTCAAACATAGCAACGTCTGTTTGTTGTTCTGTGCTTTACCTACTTAACTCTACTCGAGTCCCATCAAAAACTATCAATAGTGTGGAGAATGTATAGTTAAAAACTTTTAGGATTTCTTTATCTTATACTCCTTAAGCGTTCGTACACAATGATATTTAGTAATATATTAACTATACCTTCGGTGTTGATTATGGGACTTTATCAGTTAAAAATCTAAGCATACGTTAATATGTCTCACATAGGTAGAGTACATACTAGATTGGTTTCTCTCAATGTGTTTTGAAAATAGATGTTAGTGAGAGCTAGTCTTTGAAAAAGGATGTTTCAAGTGTGAAATATCTGTCGAAAATCGTGAAGTGTTTGTACACATTCTTGAGGAAACTATATGTTGTCATGAATTTCATCTGTATCATTCAAACCATTTTGGTTTAGTGAGTCAATCAATACAGGAGAGTTTACCAACTTAGAAGCATATTTCTATTAATGTAGATTAGAAATGTGAACACTCATGATTAACAATTTAGGTGTTGTGAAGATTGTCAAGTTTTCGTGATTGAGATCATGAATCGATTGATGTTAAACCACCATTGAAAATCTGGAAGCACTGGACGGACGTTTCGTCCTATTCTGGGACTCAGCAGTGCACATCCACGATCCCTTCCGCGCGAGACTGAAGGCCCTCGGTTCGAATCCCGCGAGCGGGATCGTGGATGCGCACTGCTGAGGAGTCCCACAATAGGACGAAACGACCGTCCAGTGCTTCCAGGTTTTCAATCGGTTCATGATCTCAATCATGAAAACTCATGATTAAGATTGTTTATTGTCAACTCGTCCATTATATATTCCTTCAATGAATCATGAGTTGATCAATGTTAAACCTGTACTGGAAACCCAATAAATTACTGTTTCAGTTTATTTCATTCTTAACGACAATGTTTAAATTACTCGTCTCTCAACAGAAAGTCATTTATTTGAATCGCTCTTCACCTACATCAGGTTAAGGAGCCGAATAATATCAATTACTATCACGGAAACAGTGTCTTAAAGCTTAGTATGTCTACATCTGTACTTGATAGACGAATTATGTAGAATTGTAGCCATCTTGAAGATAGTTTAAATCTGTTATGTCTCAGTTAATAACACTGTTGAATATGTTAGCTAATTAAAATGACTGGTTCGTAGAGGAGTTCGATGATGCACTTTGCAGAACAACACACTTTGCGGGCCTAGCTAACAAGATAGTAGGATGATCGTGGAAAACATTACCAGTAATGAATTCACTCGCGGTATAATGGAGGTGACTTGATAAGAGATTGTACTCATAAACTTCACAATGGATTTCCAAAGTGAAGTTGTTCTGTGTGTAGTCAACTATGTCAGGATATAAATAGTAGCTCACCAATGAGACTACAAATCCAATATATGGACCAAAGGCACTCAACGTTTGGGATTCGATTTCATGTTCAGTTGTTGATGCGGTTTTATGAATGTTGAAGTACCTGATCAATCCTATCAGACTCAACTATCTGGCGTAGGCTAGTAAAGAAATTACACTAATTTTTTATACTACTTAAAGTAGACAAATTCGAAATTAACATTTCCCCCCACTTGTTTTCATTGTTTCTTTTCTGAAAATCCATTAACTGTTCATATTATCCACTGTGTTACTGAATGAGATACACATTTATGTGTATGATACCGTTTTTCGGTATTGTATACTAAGGAACTATTTTGTGTTGTGTCGGTTATTTTTCCATGAGTACACACGAAATATAAATTGATATTTCAATAGTTGAGATCATGAGTTAATTGAAGCTAGACCAGTATGAACAACCTTGAAGCTCAATTTCGTGGATTAGTTGAAGTTAAACACTAACACCATTGTATACCGGCTCAGTGGTCTAGTGATTAAGCGTTTGCGCACGAGATTGATAGATTCTGGTTTCTAATCTCGCGGGGCAAGGTCATGGATGCGCACTGCTGAGGAGGCCCACGATAGGACGAAGCGGCCGTTCAATGTTTCCATTTTTCCCATGGTGATCTAGCTTCAATCGACTCATGATCTCAACCATTGAAATTACTATAATACCCACAAAAACCCCTTCTGATATTGTTTGAAATCATGTAAATGACTTTTTGGAGGTACTGTGTTTACTGAGCTGAATTTTGAAGCTTTCATGATCTTTCTAGACAATATCACCGGCTATTAAAATTTCATTACAATTGACTAATAGTTTATTCTGTTTACCTGGTATTCGATTGGTTGATTGCCCATAATTGTGTGGCCGTCTTTACCCTGTTAGTGTTGATTATTTCTTTCTCGTGACCTCATCTCTAACCTTACGGTTGTTCATCCTTTTTCTTATTGGTTAGAAAGCGATTAGTTCAGAGTAGAAATCTGCTTTCTTACAATTAGAGGTCACTGAATAAAATGATTTCTCTCCAATTATTGTAGTGAATCCGTCTTCATCATGAACCCATACTGTCTGATTCATCATCTCTTTATGTTTGGGATCTACCTTAATCAGTTGATTTTTTGTAGATAAATGACTGTGTAGTGTTGATAGACTATAAGTGACAAGCAAGAAATGAAAAGGAAATTTGAACCCGATCTTTGTGATTAAGATTGTCAGTAGTTAATCCTTAACTTTCGTGGTAGGAAACAGCGTAAAAATGAATCATTTCTTTATTTTTCACTTTTTATTTAGTTATGTTATAACCCTCGGTTTTCTTCGTCTATACAAATGGGACGTTAATCTGTCTTAGAAAAATATCTACACGAGATTCCCTTCCAGTGTCTATTCTATAGGAATTCAACACAACTCAAATCAAGAACACGTGATTAGACTGACTAGAAAATAATTATATTTCCACACCAAAAAAACCCACACAATCACAGTAATAATAAGGGTAAGGAGATATATAACTCATCTAGTACCTGTCAAACTATATACTAGTCTGACTAAGCAAACAATCAATCATTATCATTCTCATCAACACATCAAGTTCTGATAACAATCCTATGAGGTTAACTCAAAATACTTCGTTTCTGTATTTGTAATAAATGTTTCCTAGTTTATTTGGAGGTTTTTAT